AGAAATAAGAAATCATAATCTTTAAGGAAAAGAAATCCTAATCTTGAATAGATTCTTCGCTTCTTGAATTTCTTGGACTTTTAGCATCCTTGATCTTGCATCAACGTCCGACCCCAGCTAGTTTGATCTTGTGGTTTAGTTGATTGACTGAACTCAGTAAACTAAGGAACGAAACATCTATGGTAGTTTGTCACAACTTCACTATGAGAAGCTTGATGTGTATTGCGTTCTGCATCTGAAGTTGATATTGGTATAATATCCGATCTCAGCGTTGTGTCTTTTGTCCTACGGCTTGAATAACAGAATCATGGCAGGGGAAAGGGTGTGGGTCACCAAGTAGAGCAAGGGAATAAGCACTAGGTGACAATTTAATTATTTGTTTGATGTCCTGCTCTATGATGTGAGTAAGTTTCCATTTTCTGACAAGTTGAAATAATAATACTAGAATAAGTCAGTAGAGTGGTGTTTGGTTTAGTTTCTTTTGATAATGGTGGCGCCGAAGCTAGTTTGCGTGCACCTCAGCTAACTGTTTAACCACTACCTCCTATCAGAGATATCAGGTAACTCTGTCCCTAAGGTTTAGACAGATGGGTAAAAATCACCTTTCGCTTTTTTGCCTCTTCTGTCATTTGACTCATGTTTTGTTAAAAAGTTTGAATGTTTGCCAAATTATTTTCAATTTTGTTCTGTAAAACTGTTTCTCAATCAAAAGCCGAGAAAGAAAAGATTGTAGTTTTTTTTCTGTCTCAAATGTTTAACCCAACTGACACCTAAGAATTCCCAATGGAATAGACCAAACCACATCCATATTACCTTACTTAGAAACGATCTTTTCCCTTTATTGCCATTGTTGTTGTGACTGTGCACTCAAATCTATGAATCTCACACTCTGTTATTTATTGCCCTCCTTTTTATCTGTAGTTCTCCTTTGATTTAGTTTGCTACGTCCTCCCAATCCAATTTCAATTTTCATCATCAGTTTCTCTTGGTGTTTCCTCTTCAGACCCCAAAGAAATAGGAAGATTTCCCAAATCTTCTAGCTCCTTTCCCCTCACGTTTTTGTCGACATCATCTGAAAGTTCTTTGATACAATTGTATTTGGGCACATCTTTGATAAGTTTCTTAAAAAAGGAAAAAAAAATTATCACCTTTATTTGGACAGGTGTGTAAGTATAACTACTAAATGCATTGGAATTGAGTGGCAAGTATAAATACATGGATGGAGTTCCAGTTATTTTGTAGTATTTAATTTTTTTGCTTTTCCAATATATGGAAAGCAATTTTGCTAAGCCAAGGGTTGTATTTCAGCCTCAAATAAGCCCAATGGTATAAAGCTAGGTATAAACTGCACATATAAGAGTGGTAGTCTCTAGAAAATGAGCTCATCTCATTTCAGCTTCTAATCAGCATTTACTGTATAGTCCTTTTTTTTCTTGATTGCAACAGTCTGTTTTGTTTCTCTATCGAACACCATATTTAGGCAATGGGACTAAGTGCAGGGGTCAGTGGATTTGGTTTATGACTCTTTGTCAGACCGTTGGTTAACTGACCAAATTGGTGGGTTTGAATTTTGTTTTTTGATGGCAACATATAAATCGCTCCTCAATACTTATTCGGTTATTCCTTCGCATGCTTCTAATGCTCCAACTCGTTACTAAGTACGAGAGGTCTAATGTCTTGTCAAACCTGAAAGCAGATGCGAGAAAGATGTCAAAAATCTGCTTAGGGTCAGATTACTTTATATTCTTGCCCTGCTTGCCACCACTCTGAAAGCCTGATTCGCAGATCTCTAAATCATTCCAAAATACATTAGGGGTAGGGGTCTAGCCTAGCTCTAAGCCTAGGATAGGACCTTGTTCGTGTAGAATTTTCCTAGGGTATGAGCAAAAATAGTTGGCTGAAATTATACGTCATTTATTTCGTTACTGAAATAGGTTCAGTTACTTTTTTTACAAGTAACTAATATTTCTCTTATATCTATCTGAAATACAGTTATCAAGTTTATATGTGCTTGGCTTTGTGTTTATTTTTTTGAAATACAAGAACTCACTATGTCCTGTTTTATTGAATGTAATCTGAAAATTTATTTAACTTGGATGGTATATGGGTAGCGGACATAATGGTGCAACAAAATGTTCAAACTGTTAGATAGCTAAACAACATCACATTGTTCATAGTTATACATGAAATTGAAGTCTTAGTATTTATGTAGGAATGTGTGTACATTTGTTTTTGTTTTTAAGGAGTATGATATGAGTAATTGGTTTATCTGACTGTAGTTTGTTTGTTCTGAGGTTTATCAAATCAATATTTCTTGGGTAAATCATTGGTGTCTCCTTAATGGAAGATAGCAACAGATCCAGTAATGTAGGACGGGTATAGCGAACTGGGGAAAGTAGCTCGTCTAAATTTTGATCATGTTTTTTTGGGTGTATTACAAATGTTCTTTTTTTTTTATTGAAGTATTCACCACTATCATGAACTCTTCAGAGCATACATCCTTTAGAAAGATTCTAAACTGGAAGTGTATCCATGTCTTTTCTGTTAAACATCATTATCGAACTTGAAAACTTTGGGTTACTTGATGTTGAGATTCAGGATTTTTCTTTGAAGGATAACTCTTAGATTTCTTTGTAAATTATGCATATACATCTGATTCATCCAGTTTATATTCAACCCTAAATTAGCTAGAACAAAATCTGTAAGTCTGATTGCCTGTGGCTCCATCCTATACTCTTAGTTAAAGACTTGGAAATCTTGTCATTTTGTCAGTGTCCACATGAAGGTCTTGTGTTTATTATCTTACATTTTTCTCGTCCTTTGCTGCATCTGCAGGTATGAAATGACTTCCAACAGTTGGGTAAAAGAAACAAGCGTGCCAAGAAAAACATCTGATGAAGCATCAGTTGGCTTTGTCGCATTGGATGGGGAGCTGCACGTGATGACTCATTTAAGTGGGGTCAAATCAAAGGAGTGCCAAAGATTGAGGCAGCAGAAAAGGTCAGCAACTCTTCCGATACAAATATATCATCCTAGGAAGAAGTCATGGAGGTGTGTCACTACAAAGCCACCCTTTCATCACCCTTTGGATTTCAAAACTGCAGTTATGTGCACCATTCGTCTGTAGATTTATATTGTTCCATTGGTGTGTCCATGAAGCAGTTGTTTGGTTAGTAGATTCTCCTACCTGTTGTGAATGGCATTGTATAGCTTTCATTGACATGTTCTTATTGTTAGAATTAGTATTGTAAATGCAACTGTAATAAACTCAATTCTTCTTATCTCTATCTCTTTCCTTTTATTAATTGCTTCTACGGGACAGTTCATTCCCCCCCCCCCCCACCCCCACCCCCCACCCACCCACCCACACACACCACATATATATAACCATAACTGGGTTGTCTGTGAAGAGTGAAAAATCAACAGTCGGCCATGCTATGTTTAAACTACTATCTGTCTTTCTATATTAACACATCATTAATTTTTTACAGTTTATCTTCTTTGTATTTTGGGATTTGATTCGTAGTTAAGTTTCTTCATGATTATTTGGATTTATCTTCTCTTCAGCATCAGAATTATTCCATTATGATGCCTTCTCAATTTCTGTCTTTTTTCCCTTTTTGTCTATCTGGTTGCCTTCTGTTTAACAACTGAAGTTTCCTTTGAATCATCTCTGGCAACCTCTTTTGCCATAGAATCTGCAGTCCCTGAATATGAAATTAGCTCCCACCTCCCAGTTGTGGACACTTTTTGCTCTTTGGGTTCAATTTCTTTGTTCTTGCCCATCCTCCAACCTCCATCACCCCAAAAGGGGGG